GTTGATGTTGTTGTTGATGTTGTTGATGTTGTTGTCGTTTCCATTGCTATCGTGGCTGTAGCTGTCATCAATGTGATTTTCAACGCGGTTCTGTGATACTCAGGAAGCTGGTCGTCAAGTTTCCCTGAATCCGATTACGACTTTCAGTCACTCAGGCCACTCTGGACACCTCCCTGGGTGGGCTTGCCTCCTTTGGTTCAGCAGCTTGGCCTCAACCTGGGCACTAGTATGATGACAAGGATACGGACAATTACAGCGGTGAGCCTCTGGACGTGAGGATCCAGTCTTGAGTCTATTACTGTTTCGGACTTCAATCCGGAAGCGTCATATTCAGATGACCGACAAGACTATTCAATATCTGATCTCGACCCCAAGGCCAGAAACTAGATTTAGCATAATGTTCGAACTGGTGATTATCCTAGTCGCAATGTCTGTTCGCGTAGAAACATGTGCAGCCACAGTTACAAATGAATCCATAATCATGGCAGTCACATGACATATTCATACTGACAAGCAAAAACAGACAGGGTAACAAGTTATAGAAATGTGTTATGGAGCGAAAGCCTAGCATCGCTTTGGATGCAGAAGTGCAGCTCCTGTGCTGTTGCCCTGTCGGACAAGTGGCAGCGATCGTGAACAAGGGATGTATCAGAAAGAAGCATCCTGGATCCCTCGGATGCTTGTAGTTGCTGCTTGTAGCAGCGGAGCAGGGTGCCGTGCCCCAGGATTGGTGGCTTCCTCTTCGTGATGCTCATCATAGCTGGGGTGCCGGGGCCCTACTGTATACTGTTTGTAGCGTACTACCGTATGTTTTCGTATGTTACTAGTGTTCGGTTAAGCTTTGTTGTATTTTGTGACTGCACAAGAATGGCCAGCCCACATTGACATGACATGACCAGCCGACTGCAACAGTGGGATTGATTGCTCCTCGTCCGGCTCTCGTCATCACCAGGCACCGCACCACCACTTGCCCTTTCATTGCAGGCAGTTTGCGGTGGTTATTCCTGTCTCATGCAGTGCCCCAAACCCTACTTGTTATACTTGTTGTTGTTTCTACCATCATACTTAGTATGATTATGCGTATGATTGTTGTTCTTCTTAGTAGCATCATTGCTCTTCTTCTTAAGTCAGCAGACTTGGTGCCGAGGACGCCCATGTTCATAAAGCCCCCGGAGCCGGAGACCGGGTTTAGGGGGGTTTTAGGCTTGCAGGGTTAGGGTCTAGGGCCTAGGGCCCTTGAGCTCGAGGGTAGTTTTCGGCTTTAGATTTAGGAACGGAGCTTTCGGTCGGGCTTCAGGCTGGAATTTTGGCGGGGGTTTCAGGTTGCATTTGTCCCTGGGCTTGCATCCGCAAGGGGAGCTCGAGCACGCGGACAGAGAGAGACAGGCAGGCAGGCAAAACACAGACGCACACATCTTGGGCGCGTGCGACCAACTCGATGCTTGTATGATGTGCATGAACACTTGCTTGTGTGTATTGAATTGAATGATGTACATGTAGGTATACATCTATGTGCATGTGTGTATGTATGTATGTATGTATGTATGTATGTATGTATGTATGTATGCATGTATGTATGTATGCACGTCGGAATGTATCTATGCACTTTGCTTTTTACATATGTCTGTCTTTGTATGTGTAGACATAGAGAGAATATGTGTGTATATACATCTATATATAGATATATTTATACGTATATGTATATGTATGTATGTATATAATATTCTTTTTGGTGATCTGCGCATCTGACTCCCTCTGCTGCAATGAGTCCACACCGAAGCGTTTTAGCGTCGCGAGGAGCCTGTCGTGGAGGAGAAGCCAAAGGCTCCTCTTGGCATCCTGGCAGCAGCTCAAAATCCAGCATTGCCAAGCATGTACTCGTACCAATGATGGTTGGTACATTTATTAATAGCGATAGTACTACGAAAAGCCATTGTAGCGAGACTGCTAGGAGTCATACTGCTGCAAGGCCGCGAATAACTAGACAGACAGTAATTGCAAAAAGGAAATGGGAGGTGGTGGTGGTGGTGGTGGTGGTGGTGGTGGTGGCAGCAGCAGCAGCAGCAGCAGCAGCAGCAGCAGCAGCAGGAGGAGGAAGAGGAGGAGGAGGAGGAGGAGGAGGAGGAGGAGGAGGAGTAGTAGTAGTAGTAGTAGTAGGTAGTAGTAGGTAGTAGTAGGTAGTATTAGGTAGTAGGTAGTAGGTAGTAGGTAGTAGGAGTAGTAGTAGTAGTAGTAGTAGTAGTAGTAGTAGTAGTAGGTAGTAGTAGGTAGTAGTAGGTGGTAGT